TGCATTGCCCCCCCCCCCCCCACTCCTGAACAGGTCCTGAGGCCTGGCTGCTGTTATCGACCCAAAGGCCCCGGCACTGTCCACGACCGAGATATTTATTTTAAATACTTTCTAAAAATAGCAAAAATAAGGCTTAATCATTTTGGAGAAGGTGGGCCCATTAGGAGAGTGAACCCAACTGTGACCTCTGACCTCTGCTTTAACCCATCACCAAAGTGAACAGTGGGCAGCTTTAAGCACCTTTGGGGAGCAGTGTGGGGGGTGGTGGACTAGAACCTGAAACCACCACTGCCCATTAATACCATGACCCAGACAGACCATATGAGGGGCCATCGTGTTCTGCTGCTGTGGTGGTCTAACAGAACAGTGACTGGAGCTGCTTTTATTTATTCTGCACGTGGCACATTCTACTCATTGTTGTTCCACCATGTTGTTTGTTTGCTGCTCTGAACCCTAAGACCATCACACAGTAATTAAGTGTGTGTGGGTGTGTAATTTGGAACATATGAATTAAAAACAGCCAGACTCCGCCCACTGTACAGCAGGCCCCGCCCACTGTAGGTTTAATTACATAGTAACGAGCCCTGTTTACAGCCTGACGACTGGCTGTGACTGCATCAAGTTTTGTTTCAGACTTGTCTTTGCTCAAGTATAACTTTGGTCTGATTTTTTTTATCTAAATTGTTTAGTGCTCTAAATAATGGAAAAACTGAAAGTGTTTATGTAAAACAGATAAATAAATAATTAATAACAAATAATTGAAACTTTCTCTTTTTTTATATAATATCTTTTCTGTTGCTTAAATGTTCAGTTTCCCTATATTTATTTATTAGTGACGTGGAGCAACACTGTTTTTTTCCCTAAAACATTTGTGTCGTTGCTTAAATAAGCTGAACGTTCTTACATTTATTTTATTTTATTTTCACAAAATCTTCTGTTCTTGTTCTACCAACACAACACAGACTTTATTATTGTCATTCAACATGTTCTAACTGTAAATGTTGTCCGGCTTAAGAAACTCCTGTTGCTCCAATGTAATTATCTTTATCCTCTAATTCTTGTTCGTTTTTAAGACACTGAATTACTCTGTAATATTTTCTTGAACCACATTTAACATTTCTGTTCCAATTTCATGTCTTTGAAGTTCTAAACTTAGATTGTGTATAACGTGGTATAAATTCACTGAGGATCAAATTAGCTTCAATTATTTATATGGTCCATATAAATAGGTATCATCTGCTGCGACTCCTCCTCAGTGGCACTTGGCAGCAGTGGGGCCATTCAGTGTCAAAGGTCAAAGGTGAGCCCAAACCCTGAAATCCCTAATATCCCTGACAGAAAGGGATCATGGGAAAGTTGTTCCACTGTGTTTTATGTGTTTTTTAACCAGACCATAGAAACATCACACCGTGAATGAGTGTGTAATTTAGAACATATGAATTAAAAAACAACCGGCTCCGCCCACTGTACGTTTAATTACATAGCAACACGACCACAACCAATCAGCTGCTGGTAAACTGAAGGCAGTGTATGGGCGAACAGCGAGAGTGACTCATATGTTCTGCTGTGTGTGTGTGTGTGTGTGTGTGTGGTTTTCCAATGCTGCTCTGCCAGCAGTGAACAGCTCCACGGTGACGGAGGCTCCTGGAGCCAACGTTTTGGTAAAATGAGACTTTTATTTAAAAGCATAAAAGAAAAGAAGCCACAGTGAAAGAGAAAGAGAAAGAAAAAGAAAAAGAAAACTATCTTTGTTTCTGCTTCTGTGTAGCTGCAAGTTTTGGCCGAATCCTCGAAACACGATCTGGACTGGACAAGTTTGTTCTGGCCAAACATGTTCATCATGTGTTGTCTTTTCAACTTTAAGATAACATCTGGCTAATCTTCATTGGTTACATTTTGTAAGCTGAGTTTTGCAGTTTTTGTCCCATAGGTATTTTTCTGACCTGTAGGTGGTGCCGAGTATTCTGTGTGTGATGTAAATCTAATCCTGTGAAGTCTGTCAAATCCTTTTCCACAAGAAATAAAGGAAACATTTAGGCTGGCTACTATTTGCCCACCAGATGTAGGAACATTTTAAGACATTTAGCATTTTCGTTTTCAGTAGGCTAGCGGTGGCACGAAGCCAAGTGGCAACATGTTGTATTACAGTCGCACATTTCATCTAGTCCTTGATTTTTAAGAGACTTCGTTGAGGCTAGGCCATGCTAAGGTTGCTAACAGCCTTAGCCTCGCATTTTTTATTTTGTACTTTACCAGCAGAGCTGACTCTTGTTACCTGCATTACTGCCACCTACTGGGCCTATTTCCAACTGGTAAATATTTCGTCTAGAGCCTAAACGTCAACAGTGAAGAAAATACAGAGAAGAAGAAGAAACCGTGCTGTTGTTTACAGGACTGTAGACTTTCTGTGATTCTCTTAACTGACAGGAATTCTGTGTTTATGAGTCTGTGGCTCGTTCACAGCAGTGATCTATCTGTTTACTAGGTTGTGAGTAAATAAAGTAAAGTTAAGGAGTTAAGTGTTTTTCAGCTCTGAAGAAACTTGAAGAAGCTTGTTCATGTTTGTTTACCTTTTGCTTTTTTGAGGCTACATCTTGTTAGCACCAACTGATGCTAAGGCTCATTTTATGTGACCTACCAGTCATTGTACACAGTAGACACACAGACAATTAAATGTGTCCTCTGTCTTTGTGAGACTTTACTTTGTCTTTTGTTGAATAGTTAGCTCCTGCTAATTTGTGACCGTGCTGTGAGTTTTACTGTCTCTGCCTGAATTCCTTGGTCAGAGGGAGGGGTGAGCGGAGCCACATTTAATGTGAGGCATAAAGAGGAGTTGAACACAGTGACAGCTGAATGCGTGTTATTTTGATGGCTCTGAAAAATTAAAATGTGTATGAAAAGAAAAATACAGAGGAGAGAAAATGACTGTGGACAGGCTAAAAAGAGACGACAGCGTGAAACGATGGAGAGGAGAAAGAGCTGCTGCTTCAATTAAAGGCTGAGACGAGATTAATGTGGAGGACAGGGAAAGTGGTGAGGAGACACAGAGGAGGCCGCAAGGAGAGGAAGAGGAGGAATGAGTTTTTCCTGAGGGGGAGGGGTTTCTTTTACTGTCACTGTTCATCAGAAGGAGCGATTCTGACAAACACACACGCACACACACGGTGGACTTTAGGGACACAGGAGCTGCTGGTCCTCTGCTGCCTCATGTGGCCAGTTTGTGTCAATGTCAATGTGAAACCAAATACAGTGGGGCTTCAAGATACGAGTTTAATCAGTACCACAACAGCTCTAAAACGTGCATGTGATGTCTCCAGTGTCTCCGACTCCATCGTTGTAGGGAGTTATACGACACTCACTCCACACAGTTGCAGCCCATATGTGAGTAATTAGGATGTAAGAGAGCACGGAGATGAAGGTTTGGACAGAAAGGAACCAAAACACCTGAGGTTTTATTTACTCCTTCCTCCATCCTGCCTGCCTCCTCCCCTCCTACTTTCTCTCCTCCTCTTTACCCCTTTTTGCAAACATTTTTGAAGGTCAGTACTGAGCTTGTGGAGCAAAAGGCCAAATCAATTCGGTCGGTGTTCTTCACATACTAATGTTTCAGTTTTCTCCTGAACATCTGACTCAGAGTTCAGAAGTTCAGGTAAAAGTCTACATTTTATAAATTTCGTTTCAGTTTTGGCCTGGACCTCGCAGCAGGTGGCGCTTACATTTCATTTTTTTCTCTTCATCAGGAGTCACCTCAGCCAAAGGTCCACATTTCAATCTGGCAGAGGTTTTACACCACATGACCTTTAACACCAAACTGAGACCCCAACATATGGGAATTGAACCAGGGATCTTCAGAAGGGCAGGTGTATAAACCAATACTTGCAGCCCCTGCAGTTTGGGGTGAAAGCACAGTTGAAAAAGAATGAAGGAACTGAACTCACCTTGATGATGTCACCAAGGTAAACATCCTCCATCTTGTTTGGCACCTTCATCTGGAAGACTCGACCCACCACCGCTGAGGAGTCTGGGAAAGCGGCAGGTGTCTGAACCTTGTTTGTCTCTTCCTGAAAGTCCTGCAGGAGGGATGAGCGCATGGACGCCTCCAGTTCTCCCATGATGCTACTGTGTCCTCGTCCTGCATCCAGATCTTCTTCTTGCAGCAGTGCATCGATCTCCACCTGAGCATGGACTGGACCCTGGAACCAGACCATGATGCTGAGCAGTGAGACCAGCAGAACTCCAGGTCGGGGAAGGAGTCTGACATCCAGAGGACGCCCTGATTTCACTTCGCCAGACATTGTCCTTCTTTAATGTCCAAAAAGTACCTAAAGAAGGACGTCCAGGTGGAAGGAAGAGGAAGGGGGGCGGGGGGACTGACTAATCCTTCCTTTCAAACCTCCCTCCTTCTCCACCCACTCTTCCCCTGGCCTGGCGCCGAGCAGGAATCTTCTCCTCCTCTTTCTTCTTTTGTCCTCGTTCTTTGTCAAGACTTCAGTGAGATTCCACCTCCTGCTCCACCTCCTCCTCCTCCTCCTCCTTCTCCCCTGTTCTTTTGTCCTCCTCTCTATTCAAAGGGTCAGGAGTTCCATCATGGTCGCCTCAAAGACCTGGGCAGGCACGAGGAGGGACAGAAAAAAAAAAAATTAATGAAACATATATATTTTTTTAAAGTTTTACTAGGTGTGTGCATTGATTCAAACATTTAATTGTCAATAATATGCAGTTATTCATAGTGATCTGAAAGATTGATCTTAAATTACATATTTATATATACATACATACATATATATAAATAGAGAGAGAGAGAGAGAGAGAGAGAGAGCTTTAAAAAGAGGTCAACGATGACAACAACAATAATAATAAAAAAAACAAATATGTTCCGGAATATTCTACATAATAACCCCAGACATGTTGTATATTGTATAATGAAGCAGGTTGGAAGTATTTAGGAGAATTCCCCATAATGCTTTGTGGTTTTGTTAGATATGTTGCACCATGTGGTTATTTCCACTGCATTCTTGATGTTGGAGGTTATGTTAAACATAAAGCCGTAACGTGCGTTATAAAAGAGCACTCCTTGTTTGGGATTGCGTTCCTCATCAAATGTTACTGCTGCGTCACTTCATAGTTTCCTGTTTCCCCGATCTTAAAGTTCTACTAGCTAATAGCTTATTAGCTCACCCAATGATAATATATCACTTATATGAAGAGATGACACAAAAAGGAGATTAGGAGAGAAAACAGCAGAGGTCTGAAGAGGAGAACTTCACAGCTCAGGAGCTACACAGCAGCAGAGATCTTTACAGAACTGCACTCAGATTTCTAAAGCCGAAGATTCCAGAGCATTTGTGATCCTGGTGTGAAGTAAAGAAGGCGATGAAAGGAAAATCAGGTTGATGGAAGGAAGCAATTTATAACATTTCAGTAAAAAAAAAACACAGAGAAATAGACGCAGTTGGCTTTTGTGATGCAGCTGAGGGTCGTGTTATGGCTGAGCTGCTGCAGGAAAATGGAGTCCCAGCTGTGACTCTCTCACTTCTCAAACACACTCGCTCCATAGGAGATTCTCCTCCACCATGAAAGAGCTGAATGAACAACACACACACATGCACACGCATACATATACATACACACACACACCTCTCCCTAACAATAGAACTCTGCTCCATTCATCAGCGGTTCTCAGAAAAGCCCTGACTGCCTGCTCTTTGTTGGCTAATCCAGGCTCCCACCGTAAATCACCTCCACTCTTTTTCCCTCCATCTGTCCGTCTGTTTGTCCTACGTTCCTCCGTCAGGTCAAATGCACCCGGAGACTTTGTTTAGATCAGCAGAGGTCTTTTCAGCCCAGCAACCTAGTGGGAAATATCTGGGACATTTCCAGGTGTCTCCCTGGATGTTCTGTGGAATGCAGTAAAATGTGTCATGCTGGAAAATCTGCATTTGATTGGCCCATCAATACATACGTACATTTAAGATAGATTTTAAATCACTTTTCCCAGGTAAACCCCTGAACTGGGAGCCAAAATCACAAAATTTTTCTATGGACTTTGGTGTGTGTGTGACAGAGAGAGACATGGTGTTTCATTCTTTCAACACTGTCTCCTACTGGAAAATAAAAATAAACGTCGAGACATGACACCTCGTCTCCAGCATCAGGCTTTATTATAAATACACTGATCAGCAGACACCTCAGCGCCTCACTTCCTGTCGGTCAGCCCGTTGGGGTGGAACAGGGTGAGAGGGCAGGCGGAATGGGGGAGTTAAGACGTAGTGGATGGCAGCAGGTTAAAAAACAGCAGGGGAAACATTGGGCTAAAAGCAGAAGAGGAATGTGAGGGAGGGGCGTTTGTTTTCACTGTCAGGACACAGTGTGAGAAAAGTGCTCCACCCGTCCTTTCTAAAGTAGGAAATGCATCTGCTCTTCACCAGTTTAGCGTTAGCCACAGTGTGACATGCGGCGCCATCTGTCACTGAACATTACACGCCTCGTTAAAAACTGATGACACTGACATCATCACTGCAGCCGCTGAAAACATGTCCAATTAAAAATATCACCAGAGTTAGCCTTTCCTGGGACGAGCCAATAAAAAAAATGGAAGACACAAACAAATTGCATCAGGCAACAAAAAAAAAAAAAAACAATCTCTAAAATAGCTTAAAGTAAGTAACAAAACACTGGAAATATTTTTTAAAATATCTTCCAGGTAAATCAGCAGTTAAGGATACATCACTGATGTTTTAACTCTAAATGTTAGCCCTTCAGGAATCATAGAAAGAACTCAGTCAAAAATGCTAAAGGTTCGGCCAAGAGGCTTCTTAAAGGTGAGCCTGATGAAGGTTGGCATAATAAAAAGAAGAGAAATGGAAACTCAACAGCCAAGGAAATTAATCAGCCATCAGATAACTTAAGGTGAGCACACCCCCCCCCCCCAAAAAAAAAAACTTAAAAGAAAACATTTAGCCATGAAATACAAAAACTAAAAGTAAAGTGAGGAGTGAAGAAAAAAGGAAATAAAACATCCTTTTCAAATAGCTCTAAGTTAGCAAAGTCAGCTAAAAGATAACTAAATTTTACTCCCGAAAATAAAACTCAACCAAACAGGAATTAATATGAATTGAAATATTCTCTAAAGCAGAAGAGTGTGTGTGTTTTTGGAATGCTGCCTGAAGGCGGGAGGGTTTTCTGATCCCGGCCTTTATCCTGGGAGATAATGTGAAAACATCAAATCCAAGCAGGAAGCTCAGATCTGTGATCTATGAAGCCTCAGAGACGCCACGGTCCTGGCTTTTTAACTTCGTCAAAGGTGAGGGCGGAGGAGAAAAAGAGAAATGAGAGCGAGGAATCCAGGTTGGAACGCTGAAGGGAGACCTGAGCCAGACTTTGATGCCCTGACTGGAGGAAGATGAAACACAGCAGACTGAAGTGAGACCAGGAGATGGTTTAGAAACAATGAAGGTAAAAATGTATGATGTGGAGAGCCTTAGTCTTCTACCTCCAGGGCGAAAAATAGAAAGTAAAGGAAAAGGTGGAGGTGGGAAGTCTGAAACAGGACTAACGCAGTCAAGAGAGAAAAAGAGAGAGATGTTTGAGAACCGTTGGAAGTCTGGGAACCAAGACTTTACCTGAGGAACAACTTCACACCAGAGACCTCTACAGAACTACACTCAGATTATTACGTTATTTAAAAGTTATTGTTAACCTTTACGGTACTGAGGAAAACCAGGTGTGAGAGAGAAATTCCTGAATTCAGTTTTTCCATTGTACAACTGAAAATGTTACAGTGAGAACTTTGGACAGCAGAGCAATTCCCACAGTGCAAATAAACCATAAGAGGAACACACCTCTGAAAAACCATGACTAGGAAAAGGTAGTGTAAAAGAAAGACTTTGGTCAGTCATAAATGTGCACATATGTTTCTAACGTGAATACTAGGTGGTAGGACCGACCCCTGCCCTAAGAAGACTCCAGGTTCCATACCACAGAGTGCCCAAAATCAATGTTATTTCAGGAAGGGCATTTGATGTGAAGACTCCAACACAGGCTAAAGATCCACATACAGATCATAAAGTTTCTTTTTTAGCTAGAGGACCAGATTGGAAAATGCCACCTGAAGGATCAGCCAATCAGAACACAGAGCTGCTACTCGGCAGCCAATTGTGTTGGCCAATCACACAGACAGACATCTCGTCAGAGGCCAAACATTAGTCCACTAGTGGAAAAGGTCGAGGACGTTCCTCAGCGTCCTCCCTCGCAGCTGATGCTGCTATTAATGGTTCTGACAGCACGAGAGAGAGAGAGAGAGAGAAAGAGAGTGAGAGAGTTCCTAAAATTATCTGAAGCTAAGAGGAAGCTTCGAGACAGAAAGGTGACACTGACGCTATGCAGGACGTAAACCTAAAATACTACACACAATCTGAAGAGTTGCCTGATCCCAGCGTCAGGATCCAGAGCTGACACATCAACAGATATTTGAATTTAGCCAAACACAGAAAGTAATAAGTTAAACCTAACGCTAATTAAAGATGGAATTAGATCAACATTAACCATTATACTCAAATGAAGGTAAATGAACATTTCAACCAAAACATAGCTAGTCCAAAGAACCATAAAAGATCCCCCAAAAACATCTAAAAGCCCTTCAAAAACTCTTACTCAAGATAAGAGAATAGATAGAGAATAAACTAGATAAAAGTATTTTATATGAAGAGCATAAAAAGCTACATTTACAGGGAAAGCACTAAAGGTTAGCGTGAGGCATCGTCAGTGAGAGAAATGTGCAGAGTTTATAAAAGATTCTGGAGCAGAGACAGAAAGATGACACTGACTCTACACAAGACATAATTACTAATAATACTAAAGTACTCCAGCTGTGAAATACACATACTCTCTTTATTTAAGAGGACGAGTCCAGTGTCTACTGTCGCTGAAGACCAGAAACCTCTGCAGTAGACATGGAATACAACACGACTTCAGAAATATCTTAAGAAAACAATGTGTTGGTGTCTCTTAGCAACAGCGGTGTGTATTGGCAAGAATCTGGTGATACGATATGTACTGACATTAAGGGTTACGATATATTGCGATATAGTGCCATACTATAGGCAGAATAATATATACATTTTTTTGAGCAATGTTTGAGCAAATCGCTAGAGAAGAAATAAAAGCAAAATAAAATGAACCCATGGGTGTCGTTCCTATCTCCAGAGGGGGGTGCTGTTATGCAGCCAGGACAACAGACAAATATGTCCAACGTATTTTTTCAGTCTCAAAAACACGATGGAGATCATTTTAAGGTGAGCGAGCAATTTGACCCAACAGCGCCCCCGCACAGGCTTTCACAACAATAAGTGGGTTCAGCTCTTCCGGGCTTCCCAGTGTTGCACAGACGGAGAGGGGAAAAGTTTGTTTTCCCAGAGTTAAACAGGCAGAGGTTTATTATCTCTGCAAACACAGTCCTTATCTTATCAGATAAAAATCAACAACATTTTTAAAAACAAAATACAGTCTCCAGGTTCAAAAACAGCAGCTCAATGTCCACACAAATAAGATTGGACAGAGAAAAATCTCATCACTGTTATTTCAACTGACCAGTTTGAAAATAACA